TTCTTTGATTCCTGAATTGACCGTTGTCTTTTCCTTTGGCAATGTAGTTTGGCCTGTTTGGGTTTTCTCCCCACCGCTTGGCATCTGGTCCTCCTCTATAGGAACATTTTTTACATTACATTTGAGAGATGACTCTTCATCTTGGCCTTTATTGCCGGCATCTTGAAGGCTTTTTACTACTTTATCATCACCTTTTGCTTCGGATTTACGTGTTTCCATTGGCGCTCTTTCACTGTCTTCCTTTTCCTCACTCTTGGGTTTTGTACTTGAAGGTGCTTGAGCCTTTTCTGAAAGCTCCTCTGCCTCTGCGGTTAGAGAGCTCTTTGTCTCTGCTGTCAGATCTGTGGATTCCTCAGCTGTTTCTGAAGCCAAAGTAGGAACCTTGTCTTGCAATTGAACAATGCTGCTTTGCTCTTGAGTTTTGTCTGACACTTGGGTCGAGGTCTCATCAGGCTTCTTTGCTTGAGCTGAGATAAAACAAGCTTTCTCAGCATCTCCTTTTTTACCAGCATCAGATTTTTTCACAAGTCCATCCTCCGCAGGGACCTCTGGCTTTAACTTATCGGGTTTTGCGGAGAGATCTGTCACTGCAGCTTCTTTCTCTTCTGTGTTTTCAGCTACTTTTTGACATTGCTCATTTTCTTCCTCATCAAGGCTCTCACTTAATAAAACTTTGCTTTGAGTATTTCTGTCTTTGCCACTGTCCTCTTCGTTGTCAACTGCTTCACTCTCATCTGACTCGTCTTTACTTTTCTGACCTTTTTCACCATCATCCACCTCCCCAGGACTCCCATCATCGCCTCCATTCACTGAAGTCCCTACTTGATTCTGCTCACTGTCAGACACCAGCTCACCTTCCTCCTCTCGACTGTCTTTATTATCCTTCTCTTCCTCACTGCTCCCTCTCTCTCTTTTGGTAGCCTCCTGCTCGTCCTTTCCCACCTCTGTCTCCTCCGACCCTGTCTCCTCAAATTCTGACATCTCAATTTCCCTGGTGGTCTCCGTTATGATCTCCTCTACAAACTTGTACTGGGGCTCAGCTCGTCTGCGCGGGCCTCCCGGTCGGCTGAGGCAAGGCAGGGTGTAAACGGGGGACTGGTGGTAGATGTAGGGCAAGGACATGTTGGTGTCTGACATCGTGGATAGCCGAGCCTCTTCACCGCAGAGAAGTTTCCTGCAAGACAGGAGAAACAGATTTTATCTGCAGTCACTGATGAACATCAATGATACAGAATTTAATTTAATCCTCATCAATGAGAAAGACTTGAGACAGGTGCAAAAAACTATTACTAAAGGGTATTGGCCTTAACATAAGTTCTAATTAGAGAATATCCACATCTTTAAATTTAGATTGATTAGTGTTTAGCCTTTATGTCACATCAACTTTTAGGCAAGGCCATTTCTGTGATTCCCATAGTGCAACATTGTGATTGTTTGCACAAGACACTGTACTTGTGTTTAATTGTATTGTACTTAAATGCAGCTTTCACACCAGATGATGAAGCCTAAAGTGTGTCAAATAAGGAAAATTGTGAAAAAATAATCATCTTTTCACCCCACAAATGTTTGCCTTTTCAGTCTTTAACTATTTAACGTTAAACCACACCTGGAATCAGCACCTTTACCTGTAAGACAGTATCTCTACATCCAAAGCCATCTTCACATTTAACAGGTCCTGGTATTCCCGCAGGTACCCAGACATGTCAAACTTGCAGTTTATCAGCTCGTTTTCAAGTTCTTTGATTGTGTTCTGGAGCAAGAGAAGGAGACAGGTTGTGTTACTGAACAGCATGTACTCGTGAACACTGAACACGGCTTTATTAAATCGTGCTGAAAATGAAATCCTACCTGGTAATGAATCATTTCTTCCTTGTGGCGATCCTCGACGTCATGAAGTTGCCTCTCCAGCGCTTCCCTTGTGCCTTTAGCGCAGTCCAGTTCGATATTCTTGGCCTGCAAGCGCCTCCTGTACTCCTGAATCTCTTGCTGGGTCGCTTTCAAAGCCTTTCTCTTGGTCTCAGTTGCCTCCGTTAATCTCGCAAACTGAGATCGGAAAGTTTCTCCTACCTGCTGGACGCCGGACGCTGTATGACCTTCCAGTTGTGCCCTGATGTCCCGGAGTGCCGCAGTGACGCCGGGGTTGCCAAATTCATGCTCCTTGGCAGTCACCTGCGCATCCTGGATTTGGTCAAACATTTCTGACACCTCAGCCTTATGTGTTTCCTTCAGGAAGTGGATTTCATCCACGAGAGCCTGGGCTTTCTTGTCCAGCTGTAGTTTAGCCTGATACGCGTCACTGATGTCCTTCTTGAGGACCACAATGTTGCTCTCTGCGTCTGATCTGCTGCGCGCCTCCTGGTCATGTTGTCTTTTCAAGTTGGACAGTTGGTCCTCTAAATTCTGATGCTCAATTTCAATCTGATGCTTCTGATGAGTGATATCCTGAACCAGCTCCCTCAGTTTCCTGAGCTCTGGTCCATATTCCTCCTCCAAACAAGATGCGGGTTTCGCTTTCCCTCTGAGCTCCTCAATTTCTCTCTCTAGCAGATGATTCTGGTACTCCAGGTGGTGCACCTTATCTATGAATCCTGCGAGACGATCGTTTAAGCCATGCATCAATTCCTTCTCATTAAACTTTTCAGATGGCGGGTTTCCAAAATTCATGCCTGTGGACGTCCCCCTAAACACGACACTGGTATCTAACGCCGAACGCTTTGTTTTGTACGGGAAGTCGAGTCTGTTATCCATGCTGTGACTCATGCTGTCGCGGTGGATCTCCGGTGCAGAGACGCTCCATGCGGGGCTTTTATAACCGTCGCCATCTGCTCTGTATGCAGAACGGAGCTGTCCGCGGTGCTGAAAAGGTGTAGCGTCAGCTGATGACTTAATGAGAGCTTACACTACACTTTGTCGCAGACAGCTGTGACGTGGTTTAACGGAATGCAGATGTCAGTTTATAAAATAATCCACCCTCTGTGCATTATTATCATTATTATTAGCCTAATATTACTGTAACTTTGTTGTTACATTCCGTCATTAATACCATGCCACGGTGTTACACGATCAACTTGCTTTACTGCATTTAGCGGATGACGTCATTTAAACAGCACCTACCGGTCCTACCCAGGCACCTCTTACTAACCAGGGAGGCTGATCTTAACTCGCACTTTTTATCGTGTGGTCTTGATATCAGATAGGCATCTAAATCCAGATGAAAAGCCTGAAATCAAGTAACTGTTTTGTTTCCAACATTGTAAAAGTATAAATAGGCTGTTCATGTACATTTGGCTGCTCAAGTACTGTACTTAAGTGTTTACATTGTATGCTATTTTCTTTTAGACAGCTCCACTACATGTTGGAGGGAGATATTGTGCTTTTTTACTCCACTACATCTACTTTAACTACATCTAGCCAACAATACTAATGCATATTTACTTAGGCTAAGTAGCATTTGGAATGCAGGACTTTTACTTGTAATATAGTATTTCTACCCAAGTTTGAGATTGGATCTGAATACTACAGTGAAACATGCTGTATACCACAGCAGATCTTCAACCTGCTTTTAACTTGTAATATATTTGTACACTGTATTTCTATTTTTACTTAATGAATGGATCTGAGTACTTCTTCCACCATTGTTTTAATTTAATGCCAACATCTATTTTCTAGTCAAAGTGTCAAACTTAAATAATCATATTAAGATCATAAAAGTAAATGTGACAATTGTTTTAGGTGTGATAGCTGAAATAGAATTGTCATTGGAGCCTTTATAGTCGGTTTTGTGTTCATCTCATGACGTGTTCTTTGAAAGCATAAAATTAGTGTTTCAGTTTTTCCTGCTGCCATCTCACTGGCAAGTCAGATAAAAAAAACATCAAATCTCATTTAATTATGTGCTCAGGACTATAATCATATGATATGGAGCACAAACAAGACATAACAAAAAGACAAAATGACACAAAATTATCTATTTCTCAGACAACGGAAGAACATTCTGCAAAAAGACACCCAGTTTGCCAGTAACTTTTGGTTTGTATGATTGCTTATACATACATAGATGGGTAACTTACATAATACTTTGGCAGATACCTTTCTCTGAAATTCATTACACTTACATTCTTACAGTCAAACAGAATATGATTCTTGTCTCCCGGACTGTTGTCATTACAAAGATTTGCAAATCCTCTGGTTTCTATCCAGTCCTTTATATCTTATGATGACCTTGAGAATTCTATTATAATTCACCCTGAAATTTCAAATAGGCTGTCTATACTTTTCGTACACCATGTTGTAGGGGACTCCGGAGTGCTTTTCCAGATCCTTCTTGGTTGTGCTCTTCAGACATCTTTAACAGTTTTTTAAAGAAAGGGAGTCCTGCATGTCTTCAGCTAATACTGGAGAAAGAATGTTATGCATTCAAGTTGTAGTGTAGTTAAAGAGGAATGTTTTGTCATTTCAAACCCAGCCTTAAAATATAATAGAAAAAGTGTCTTGTATATAAAAAAAATCTAGATCACAACAGTTGAAAACACTTCAGACTTGAGATAACATACACAAATTAAGGCTGCTGTGTTCATCTCACTATAAATATCATATCTGTAACTTCCTTTAAAGATGTAGTCTTAGTTTCCCATGGCTTTATTCCACTTACATCATTTGTTATTTTGTGTGAGCTGTTGCTGTCACAGTTTAATGTAGCTACAAATAGGGCTGATCATGTCAGCCCATAAACCAAATGAGACATTTCATGTTCTGTTACAAAGAAAAGCATACTATTTTTATGCTTATCTGATCCTGACCTGTAATGCTATGGTATTTATTGATTTTGAAATGTCATTTTGATGCTTGAAAAGTGCACTTTTATGATTGTTGTCCTTATAAGATGGTAAACATAGAAAGGAAGTTGTACTGTTTAATCTTTCCACAACAACATTCACTGGATGATTGCTGTAGCTGCCACAAAAGTGCAGAAGGCAACATATTCCACATATAATATTCTGTACTTATATCAAATAGCAAAACTTAAGCTGAAAGACAAACGTGCAACTTTTCAACTAGTGATGTTAGCGTTTGATTGCAATGGTCAGCCCGTCGGCCACAGTGAGCATGCTCAGATCAATCCTCTGGTCCTTGTGTAGCTTCTTATTGAGAGCGTCCAGAGTCTGGGAGGTGAGGTCATCTGGAGTGGGATTCACAACCTTTCCGCTCCACAGCACCTTCACATACAGTAACAACACAGCTGTTTTATTCACAGTACACGTGCTGTACACCTCTCAATTCCACAGCATACATTGGCATACTTACATTGTCAATCGCAATGATGCCCCCTTTTCGTATGAGCTCCAGGGACTTCTCATAGTATCTGTCATAGTTTTTTTTATCAGCATCTATGAACACAAAGTCATATGTACCAGCTTCCCCGGCTGCTATCAGTTTATCTAATGAAATAGAGATGAAGATTAAAATGCAAGACTTGATAAGTCAATTTTCAATCTGAAAGCGTGACTGACATTTACAAAAGCACTTACCCAGTGTTTTCATGGCTATTTCATGCTGTACATCTATCTTATTTTCAACTCCAGCCTGTAGAAAACATTCAATTGTATGAATTGAGAGTTGTGCAGTGACAGTGTTTTTTTGTTTTTTAAAGAGAGTGTTGGGGAAGACTAAAACAGGAATTGATTTTACTGCTTGTCTTTGCATCTTTACGTGACACAGTTCCCTGAGCAGACACCTTTTCACTCTCCAGTATGCAGCATTTTGTGAAGGTAGATGTACAGTTTGCTGTCTGCTGCACAATTTCGCTCTGACAGAAGCAGCAATCTGTCTTACTAAACTTGCAAAATGCCAAATTCAAATGTTGCGCAAGTGCCAGGTTGTGTAAAGCAACCTGTACTATTATGGGGTTAAAAGGTTTCATGAATACATCCACATTTTTACATTATCTTCTTTTGTCTTGTGTAAGCAGTGTCTTTTTGGATGGTTTGATGTGAGTCATGATGTTTAGAAATAAACGTTCTCACCTCTTTAAAAAACGGTTTGGCAATGTCCACATAGGTGTCTTCTATTTCACAAGCTACCACTCTTCCGTTCTCTGGCATGGCCAAAGCCATGCTCAGTGCATTGTACCCTGTGTACATCCCTGCAGAATAAATATAATGTTAACTGAATCCCTTCAAAATTTGACTTTTAGTCCTTTCCAGATTATTAAAAGTTTAGAAAGTCTTCTATGGGAGCAAAGACTGTATATGGATTTGAGTCCTATAATCAACTGAATCATCTGAATGTTGAAATTTGAATACCGCTTAATGCATAGCAGTGAAACGCCATCTATCAAGATGAACATGGTTTGTAGTGCAAATATTTATTTTCAGGTGTCCAGTATTGAAAACGTTGTATTTTACTGGTCATTTCGAGAATTAATCACTCAAAGTGGATCGGTTAAATTCAGACACCTAAATTTAAGATAATTTAAAATTCAGTCTTAAAAATCAAGGCCTCTCTCAATCAACAACTGAGCCTGAATGGAATCAATCAGATCTCTGTCCTGTCAGGTTATGTGAAAATATTTCAGCAGTATTTGAGTCATAACATTAAGTGTTCAGTAGTGATTTAATTTCACTATTACATAGTCAGGTGCTTTTAAAAAATTCCAGTTACTATGTTATAGTTCAATTACTACTACTACGTTTTTTGCTTCTACAGTCAGTGGGTCACACATAATCTCACCAATTTCAATAGCTTTAGTTGCATTTATCAGTTTGATGAGATTTGCCATGAACTGGGCTTGTTCGCTGGCAACCATCATGATACTGAATGGGTCTTCAAGAGTTCTCTGAAACGAAAAAAAAATTAACATATTTCATTGTGTTGCTTCGCTAAATGGAAACAACATTTATGGCAATCCTCATTACATTTCTTGTAGCTGTGTAGTGTTGTCTGGCGCTGTGCTGCCCTCTAGTGTTCAAGAATTAAGCTGCTCAGATCCTGAAATTATACAGTTATAATTGTGTATTCACACTTAGTTCAGTTATTGTAGTTGAATAGAAAGTAAAGATAATAGAATTGAAATGCGATATCAAATCACAGATTAAACAAACAAAATTCTGAGCAGGTCTGGCTTCAGATGTTTTTCATGTCATTACAAATCCAGTCGTGGCAGTGAGATCCAAAGCAATTACTTCAAAGTCAAACTCATCTTTAGTCTTTAGCCTGGAGCACCAGATGACCAACCAGCCTTCACCTGACCTAAATAACCTGCTGGTGGCTTCAGCATGTTGATAAATGTTGGCAGGTCCCTGCTTACACTAAGCTAAAGGTGATCAAAAGAATCCTGAACTGGGATTTAAAAATATCAGCTTGGAGGTAATGTGATCTTTTGGTTTATCTGGTCAGAGGCAAAGCAGCATCATGCTGAAACACCTCTAAACAATACAGGGGGTTATTTGCTAAGGAATTTACAACGATCAAAGTGCTATGAAGTCAATTCAATGTATAAAGGTATGCTGGTTTTCCTACCAGTCTGAGTTTGGTGAGGACTGGGTTCTCTCTCAGTGAGTTGTTAACAACATACTGCAGCACAGGATCATCCTTCCCTCCGCCGTGGCTCTTCCCAACAAACGCAGACTTTCCCACACCTAATTGATGAGAAACAGAACAGCAGCTTTACACCCAATCAAAAAAATGCCTGTCACCAGCCAGGTTATCCACAAAACCACCATCTCATACCTGTTAGTACAACAGCAAGTCCAATACAAAAAAGCATTTTAATGTCTGTAGCCATTAGGCTCTGGGCTCTGGGCTTTTATGGAAGGTTAAACAGCTTTAGTTTGAATCCACAAAATCTTTCTGTCGGTCCTTTTTGTACCATCTGTGTTTGATTTGCTTAACCTTTAAGAGGGTGGCTCCACTTATTGATTTTAAAAGTGTATTGCAAAAGTAGGGAAATTTTTTCTACCTCTGACAACCATATTTGAACAGGAAGGTTAGTATTTCTGTATTACATAAAACAACAAAAAGTTACATCAATAAGATTAAATCACTGAAAATCACAGTCCCAGGACCAATTACCCCCTTTGTTTTAATAATGGGCACCAACACTTACTCAATTGTTTAGTTCTTTTTATTTGTTGATAGTTGTGCAATCCAAACAAGCACACTTTGAACTGTTTTATCTGTGTTTGTTTACTCACCATGTTCCTGATTATACGCTATTGCTCAGTACTGTGTATCACTGTAAGTCATGTGTAGTATGGGAACTTTTGTATTTTGTATTTCACAAGACAACACTCTTCTCACTGTGTAAATTTCTGTGTGAGTAGGCAAAACTATTAAAGAAACTGATTAAAAAAATTACTATGCGATAAAATTTGTGCAATTGTAGTTTTAAATTGTTTTCAACTGAAGGGAGCAAGACTACATCTCTCCTTTCTGTGTTCAGTCTCCAAAAAGAGTCCCAAATTACAGACAAGCTACTTATCGGCGGACGGTTGCATGGCAGAGTGCAGACCAGACAGAAGTCCAGACAGAGCTATGCCTGATTAATTTTCACTTTACTGTCCATTGCTGCTAAACAATTCTGCCTCCTAGTGGCACAAGAGCTAAAGAGGGTTTGTTTATTCATCTGTTTATTTAGTTTCTGGTGCAGTCCTCTGGCTTACTTGCTTTCGCTGAAAGGTCTATTGACGTGTGGAGTTCCATAGCAAAGCATAGAGAACATCAATAAAGAAGAAGGCCATCGATTTAAGATTTAAATCCTTCAGATTTTAAGAACATTTTAAGAACATTTCTGTGTCATTACAGTTATTATTCGGGAGTGTACAGAAATCTGAGGGAAGCCCCTGAAAACTTTTATCTTGCTCGGATGTAAAATCCTGGTTTGCTTCATAAGCACTCCAGCAATCCAAATCCCTGTTTACCCCGCTGAAATGAAATTTATATTCTAGCATTGTTGAAAGGAAAGTTAACCTCATCTGACTGCAGAATGTCCTGCTGTCCAACACTGACGAGTGGGGAACAGTAAGAAAAATTAAATTAAAAAAACAGGTGATCTTTAAGCAAAGTCACAAGTGATGGTCTCAGCTGATGCTATTTGGACCAGCTACCAGCAATGTTATTTAGACGGTTATCAGACTTTAGGTAGATATTAACTGACATAAGTCGTTTAACTGACTTGATTAGTCTCCTCTGTTTGTCCTACTGTTAGAAAATATACTGTTTTACCAATTTTGGAATGCTCTCACGTTTGAAACAGAAACTGGATTAAGGGAGGATATCAAACTAGGGTGCTTTATCCTGTCATTTTGCCAGTAACAGTGACAAAGACAATAGGAAATCAAGGAGCCATACAGTGGATATGGGTATATGAGTAGTGCATTAAGATAGACAAAGACAAAATCCAAACCTATTGTTTTAGATTTGAAACCAGATTTTCAGGATGTATCCAGTTCCTTCTTTCAAATGTGCTCATCTAACATTTTCTTTGAGCTCATCTGTAAAGTAGGAAAAGTTTAATGAGCAATGTTTTGCAGAACAGGACAGGTGGAGTGTTTTCAGCAGCCACACTTTAGATCATCTCGCTTTGCAACTTCAAAAAATAAATAAAATGGGAACAGGGAGCCAGGAATGTTCAAAAAGGAATTTTGTGGATGTGAGTGGGATGTGAGGTCTCTCCAAGGACACAGAGCTTCCTCTGTCTGTTCCCTAATTAAGAATGCACAGATACAAACAAAAACACGCTGCTGACAAGAGCACATCAATTAAATGAGGCATGACACGAACTGTCTCTGAAAAAAAATATTGAGTTGTGACGAAGAAAGGAATGGGAAGTCTCAGAGTGTGTGAGCACAGTTCTGCTAAGGTCCTCTCGGTGAAAATGAGATGCCGTGTTTTTCCACCATCCTCTCCCTCTCTCTCCCTCTCTCTCCCTCCAGCTGCTTCAGGCCTCTGCTTATGTGACGCTAATTGTTTCTGCTACTTGTGCCAAGTACCTACTCTTCCCCAGCACATTCTACAGACAGGCCCTGGTCCCTCAGCTGCTTTTTGTGTCTGTTTAAGGAATGAAAAAATGTGTGCTGCCATCTGCAACGAGCACACCACTGTTCCTCCTCCCGGCCGTGACTGTCAGAGTGCCACAATGATAGGCTACACATTCACACACACTCTCTCAGAGGTAGAAAAAAAGAAAGAAGAAGAACTATGTGGTAGAGAAACAAGAAAACAAAACTGACACATACAACTGCTAATATGAAACAAAATAATTCAAGAGGTTCCTGTTTTGATGCATTTAGCGTGTGGGAGGGAAGACACGGTACATCTGAAAAAGCCTTTTAAATTTTGCAAACCAATGCGGAGATGAAATGTAGGTATGTAAGTATATTTATTACCAGGCCAGTATAGACATATGTGCTATTTGATTTTCAAGCATTAACTCGATAGACAAAACTCCTGAAATAAGTCCACAAACATATATTTGTAGTTTGTAGGCCTCTCAGCACTTGTGAGTTCATTCTAGTTGAATGTTCCCTTTATTTTGTTGATTAGTACCTAAAAGTGAACAGCAAGTGGCAGTGTTGTTTAGCTTATCCACAGTCTTTCCTATCCAAACACAGGCTGATGGCACAAAGAGACCCGGGCCTTCACTCCCCTGTCTGGGAAGCAATATCACTTTCCTCTTGTTGAACTGACCTTTGACACCGTCACAGAGTACACAGGGCGGCACATATTGACATGCTTGTAATGCCACATGGCTGTTGCATCATCCATGTATTTAACAGGGGAAGGCTGCTTGCGATGCACTCAACAGCAGTCAGTTTGGCACCGTCTCAGCAGGCAGATAAGCACGCATGAATATTAAGTGATGCTAATCACAGTGGAGAGACCCACGTCAAAACGACTGACAGACATTTCTCGGCATTCAATTGACATCCTCAGATTTGTCCTCTGTTTGACAGGACCATCTCTCGACATGACAAGTCTGTTTAAAGCTTCCGGCAGAGGCTCGCACACGTGCGCATGCCCCAGCACACACCACCAGCCATGCATTTACACTGATTTTACTCAAATTGGGCCACTGTGCTGCTGTGCGAGACCCGAACCAGTGTTTCTAGACACACGCACGTGTATACAAAGAGCATGAGTTTATTTAGGCCACATGGAGAGTCGCAGAATGGAGATGAGGATATAGCCTAACCAAATATTTCCCTTAAAAATGCTTTTCAATCATGGGAATCTGGATCGCTGCTGTGTTAAACTACAGTGCATTTTGGAACGTGAATGTCGAGGATAAGCCGTTCAATTCATTATCACCCTCTCTTTGTGCATTCAAGCCATACAGAACAAAACAGGATCAGACTCAGGAAAAAAAAAAAAAAACTGGAATGAATGGCAGGTGTGGTTGTTTGACTTTCAAATCACCTCGGCATCTATACTATTAACCTGGCGTGTAAATAAATACAGAATTCAATTTCCATGAAGTCACGCGGTAAGTTGACAGTCCTCAAAAAGATCAAACAGGTTGCTTCGGGGCACGTGAGCCACGGTGAAAAAGCCTTGGGTATATGAAAGGTGTTGACACCAGGAGCAAGCCAGCAAAATAGACAAATGTCATATCCTCAGAAACAATTACTGGGTGAGCCACTCGTTTTTTAAGCCAGCAGATCTCCCAGCTATATCATCCTGTACACAGAGCTGCTCCTGCAACATCTCACAATAGTCGACAGTGGAAAGATGCTCCGTCTTTATAGCTGTATTGAATACTTATATTTTAACTTTCATTTAATTGGGTTCTTTCCCTAGTGTTTTGTGTACAGAAAGCCTTCATATTTGCTCACCTCCACAAAGACAAACTCAATCTTTGCCTCAGTTCCTGTTCAAAATCACTACATCCTCCCTTCCCATTAGTCTCACTGTCATCTGACTGTCGTGTCCCATTGTGACCATACTTGAGGCGCTAATGATAATGTTATAACCCAGACCAATTTGCCAGGGCGATCAGACTCACTTAATCGAGTTGATTATTATCCCTATGTCTGAGATGACCCCTCTGGACTCGGAAAAAGGGGAACAGAGAGAGACAGAGGGATGCAAGGATAGACGGTTTCTTTGGGCAGTCCATCACTGCGCGGAAGACACATGGGATATGACGGTTTGGAGGCATGAGCAGAGGCATATGTGTGTGTGTGTGTGTGTATGTGTCCATGACAATTCTTCGTGAGGGTTGTTGGGAGATGGCGTGTTGGGAGAGCAGACCTTCAGGGAGGTGTTAAGGAGGAGAGGGGTGGGACACTGGGGGAAGAGGGTTAGCTGATGGGATGGGGGGGTGGGGGGTTTGGGCCCGAGGTTCGAAATCACAACACAGCCTCTGTAATAGACCCGGACACACACCACATCTGAAGTTAATCCAATCAAGACAAGACACACAAACATAAGGTCAAGAGCAGCTTGTATTAGCGCAATGATGTCAGGGAGAAGTGGTGGAGTTAATTGACTTTCAGTATGTTTAAAAGGCTAAGAGGGATGAAGTAAAGCAGGGGGTTTGCAGCAGGTCTGGCCACGCAGATGTAAAAATGAAGGCCAAATGACTCGGTGTTGTATTAGCAGGTTGGAATCAACATTTCAGGGTATCTTTGGCTGTTGTGGGTTATTTAGCGTAGTTGTTTACTTTTTTGCTTGTGAGCCCCTTAATACAAACCAATGTCTACTTGCATGGCTGGGTATCGAACCTCAATACTCTTTACTCTCCGAGTATTGAAAAATGTCTCAAAAGAAAAAATGAAACATAATGTTGTGCAGCTCTTGCTTGTGCTCGTCGAAGTTGGGAACTGCTGATTTAGAGAAATTACAGTACAGAGAGACAAGACTGTACTTA